TTAGGCCGATTAAGTAGAATTTTTGGCTACATTTGGGGCAGCAGCCATCGGCGGTGCGAGGTCGGACGGGGTGGAATATGTCAGGGGCGTCGGTGTCAGCGCTGGTGCCTTGAGTGGACACACCTTGACAGGGAATGCAGTAGTCTGCGCAAACCCAGTTTCCTTCGGAAGAGCAGACGCACTTAAGACTAACGCAAGCGCGACGGATGATTACGAGGCTCTTGGTGGGCAAGAGGATATTGGAGGCGGTGTCGGCGGTGGCAGTCAGGTCACCCAGAGGCTTGCACTTTGTGCTATTGGCGAGGGTCTGTGGCCATTCAGACGCACTCCTTCCTCCTTCTGGGGCTGTTTCTATGGGCGCCTGTTCCAGCTCGTGCAGTGATTGGTCGAAGTCCTCATTTGGATTGACTGCCAAATGAATTTTGGTATTAAAATTGCAGCTTTTTATTAAACTTTTAGGTTAATGCGATTACGCTTTGATTGCGCCTTTCAGAAATGTTGAGTTATGTCGTAAATTTCAAAAAAATGGCTGCTTATTTGTTCAGATCTAATGGTCAGTTTTTAACGGCTTCAGAATGCATAGGGTTCTAATATTCTTTGCATATTTTCATATATTATTCTCCTCTTAGAGGTAAACTTGTTCGAATTCTAGAATTATATGCATAGCTCTTTCAGCATTGTCACAGTTACAGTTTTTTTCTGTCAACAGCAATGCGTTTCTGCTAACAGACATAAACGACTGTGCAAGAATATCGCATATTTTTACGTGAAATCAAATAACTAGGGAAGTTAGTTTAGTATTCAATTTAAATAAAGTAACTTATGCTGTGAAGGCGAAAAGAACGCCTGTCAGAAGCATAAAAATGACCCGTAAACTTAATTCTCCTAAAATGAATACAAAGTAGACAAGTAAGCCTTGTTTAGAAATACTTGACAAAGTATAAATGGTGATGGTCTAGGTGGTGAGGCCAGTTCCGAACTCCAGCACTACTTAGAGATCGACGGATTTTCTCCTTCAAGTTGAACAAGTCAACCTCAACGATAGTGGAGTCAGCTGCTGAAGGCTTGTGCCGCTTCAGGGGACATAAAAGCAGTAGGCACCAAACTTTACGATTCGGATCGCCGTGGCTAGCATGAGCGATGGCAACCTTGGTTATGGTACCGATTGTGGGAGCATGCGCCACTAAATAGCGTATTATTATTAAATGTCCCAACTAAGGGCTTTAACCAGTCCGCTATAAGACGCATTGTGTCGGTTCAATCTATGCTGCTGTTTTCCGAACTCCAACAGCACTTAATGGTGGACGTGTTTTCTACTTCAAATTACATAAGCAAACTTAAGCCTCCGGATGATAAATCAAATTTCAAAGTCCGCAATACTAGGAGGTGTAAGAGTTTTTCCTTTTCAAATCACATGAGATTAATCCCTGAATGCCTGTGAGACTTCAATTAACGAACGCATAGAGAGGTCGTGACCTTCTTCCCTGTGCCGCAGGGAATGGGTTAAACAGCCATGCATTTGCTCCTTTAAAGCATGCAACTGTTGGCTATCTTGTAAAGGAACTTCAAGATACAGAAACGTGTTTAAATGACAAGCGCCCAAACTATACGACAAAATTTCAAAAAGTTCTTTTGCTAATGTATAGGGGTAACTGAACAGTGTGGCACCTAGTGCAGCATCCTCGCAGGTGGAGGGGCAGCAGTCGCCGAGAGCGGCGACGGGGACCTTGCCGGCGGGGCACAGGAAGAGGGCACTGCATGGAGTGCGCGCACACGTGTACTGGCGGCCGTCGAGACACTGGCAGTCTGAGCACTCATCGTTGTGCGCCTTCCAGTGCTCCCCACGAGGATAGTAGCGACCTTTGATGCCATGTGAGTAGTAGCAGTCCGTGTCATGCCATATCCCAGCGCCTGTAGTAACACAAACATTTACCGGCTCAATTAATAACTCGTTCGCCTAGTTTTTCCCATCATTTCCATGCATGTTTATTTCTCGAATCTTCTTTTAAGGGACCCCCTTTCTCCTTTATCATTTTCAATTTACATTATTAACCATGAGAACATGTTTACTCAATGAAGCGCCCACCTTACATTACCGAATTTCTTTGTTGAATTTGCGCTCCTCCTTCTGTTGCTAGATGGACCTATTTGGTCTCTCATCGGTACTCCAAATCTCTCAACTCTTCTACACCTTTGCGGTCAGGCTAATATTTACTCGGGTATTAATTTGACAGACCGGGTCCCTCAATCTTCGCTGCTAGTACATTCTTTTTGACGGCATGGTCTCCCGTCATGCCCTTAGCCACCACCCTCTCGTACATCAACAAAAAATGTTCGTCCATGCATCAAAGAAAACTCGAGGCGCTGCACGTTCGAGTCTAACTCGGAGGCTACGATTTCAATTCGGAACAATTAAAACCTGCTTCATATTTCTTCCTAAAGCTATTTTTCCATTTTTGAATTATCTGGCAAATCCTTCATATGTATATGGAGTGGTAGTTTTTCGTCAAATAGCTACAGACGTGGGAGTTTACCAAGTCATGGTGTAGGAAAAATCGCTTCCCTTTCCATTCATTAAATATCACCTTCCTTCTGCATATTTGAGCTACTTATTTGCAGATACCCTACTGTGTCCACTGACTTAGCCTTTCTCTGTTTTTGTTGTCTGCATATTTTTGGTGCCATCTTTTCAAAATTCTTATGAATTTTGTGACGTAGAGGATTTTACAGAGATAACGTGGAACATGGAAGTTGGGGAAGTAAATGTATCTTTAGGCTAGTATTATCACATTTTCAATATTTTCCTCGATTCGCTTAACCCAATTTATATAAGTAAGTTTAAAAGGTGCGATAAATCCATGCATGAAATTTTTTTTGTATCAAGTAGTACGAAACACGAACGTGATTTTACGTAATGGTTAACTATTATTGGTTTTATTTGTCAACATCGTTGCATCGTCACCATTTCAGTCGAACATTTTTGCTTGGAATCGTCATTCATTGAATACTCCTTTCAGAAGACTTTTCACCGCAAGATAATTTACGAATTCGTTGAATCAGAAAACATCTGAAAGTACTAAATAAGGGTCAAGGATGGAAGTATGGTATGTGGTGGATTTCGAAAAATTGTATTCTGGATGCCATTTTGATCTAAAAAGTGGGCCAAATTGAGAGGTAGTTTCGTGGTGTTTAAGGTGAATTAAGATAGATCAGAAGGAGTTTCAGCGGAAATTACTACACTTGTCTCAAACTATACACAAACAGCAGCTGGACGTGACAAAAAAGATAGATGTAATAAAGAAGTGAAGCTGCATGAATGAAGCAAATATCGTGAGAAGTACCAAGAAATCTGTTTTTTTACTGCCACGGAATTAACACAAACTGACTTGCTGCATTTGTCCCCTTCATACAGCCTCAATAGGCATTTGCAATAATACTTCATAAAGTTGGTGCGCAACCATGTACCCATCTGTAAAGCGATGTCTGTTTGGTGGTCCATCTCTTGTCGTCAAATACACCTTCTCAGTTTTGTATATAATTTTTTATACCGTACAGGTGTCTACTCCATGCAACTAGATGGTAGAGCCCAAAGTCAAACAAATAAGAGTAGTTAGCACAACGTGACTGGCAAGGTTTTATCGTACGTCTCCATTCAACTTAAGGAAGCTAGACTTTAAAAATTTTTCAACACTGCTCATGTAATTCACTATATCTTGCAGAAACGAACCACCGTAACATCTTTCCCCTCATGAATAGCTAGTAGCCCAACTTGCGATTTACGTTTAGTCGATCCTCTTTAGTACTCCTTGTCGTCTTTTAGGTTAATGTAGGCTGTAGACTCCTCTCTGGTGTAGAGACCTTGTTAAGTGAAGCGGCAGCTTCTTGATCCTGAGTAGATCTTAACTGTGTTCCAAAGATACGTTTATCCAACTACACTTAAAGTCGGCATCATCTCAAAACCAAAAAATTCCCGAGAATTGAAAAACATGGTCGCCCCAGACCAAGAACATTCTCCTACGCCTGTCACAGTTTTAAGCTCAGCCAATCTGCTTTTGACAAAAGTGCTGCCGATCCCGACGCTCGTTAAGTACCAAAAAGCGGGTTTTCTCAACCGAAACCAAAGAAGAATCCACTAACACGAGTTGATACAATCTAAGGAGTAAGGGTGGAAAGAAGACAACGGGACGCAAAGAACCGACGCATTAATTTTTATCTTGCATGAGTTAAAGTAAAAGTTCTCAAAGAACAATCAAGACGAGGCTCAATTTTTTCATGATTGCTAACTTTTTGTGATTTGTTTATCATTTCTAAAACTAGATTTTGTCAAGAAGCCACGTGGCATAAAAAATAAGGCTATATGATATGCTAGACAATAGAAGAAGAATGGGAAGAGGCAATTGTGAAGGAAGAGATCAGAAAGACGACGGTATAAAGTGTATTACAACAAAAGCAGCCCGAGTATGCAAGTATTTTTGGTTTGTTTCTCACCTTTGGCATCAATAATATGTGGAACGCTTTTATTGGTATTGTAAGTCCTTCAATGCTACTTAAATTAACGTATTTGCTAACAATCGAGGTGTCTTCGGTATTTTCAAGTGTAAAGTGGTTTTCGAGTTTTAAACAGTCTTCTTATAAACATCGTTTTCTGCATTATCATGATGCAGTAAGTGCCAAAAAAATTACAGCTTTTACTGTAAGCAACGTTAGTGTGGAAAAAGAAAGGTCGCAGCAAACTAGTACATTTTAGGTGAAAAAGGGGATAAGAAAATTAGACATTCATCTGCTTCTGATGCCCGTAATTTGCTACTGACCATTCTTAGCAAAAATGGTATCATATCAAGTAAATAAATGGTAAATCAACCGAATAAAAAAACTTTGAAGGGAATTAAGAGTGAGAGAAGAGTTAAGTTGGTCATATAGTTTTGGGGTTTGAGTTAATGCTACTATGGTGTAATACGGTGGTTGTTTATCTCTCGGTTTTGGTAAGGAGCCACTCTTGACTTGACCATTGTACCACACCGGGTGGGCTGGCCTTCGGGCGATGTCAGTAGCCCTAGTACCTTCTCTATGTCGAATATGTAAAATCTGCACGAGTATCGTCTCTTCTTTCGTCTTCATGGAAGTCTCGAGACGCTACAATGGAGTCCAGGGAACTCAAGATCGTTATCTTGGAAATATTACTCTAGGAAAACCGACTCAAATTTGTTGTAATCCAGCGATTATTATGTTGGGGAACAGTTGCTCATGTTTCGTTTGCAAGGCCTAGATACACTCGGCAGGCGCATCACAAACATGTAATTTGCATTCTTTATCAGGTCATGGCAGCTTATGCTTGTTTTTGATCTGCTGGAAGAACGTTCTTCAGGCTTCTCACTTTTAACTCCGTATCAGAAAAGTAAGACATCTAGCCACTTTTGCTCTGTGACAGACTGCTAACGAAAGCAATAATGCATATATACTAGGGTTTTTAGTAAACCTAGCTCCCAAAATAATTGCTTAGGCGAAAAATGCGCTCAGGCATTACTTAAATAAATTAATTGAAGTGCATTTATTTAGTCAAAACCAGGTTTTCTTCGATTGGCCGGATTAGCACTTGAAGTGCATTTTGAAGACTTCATTAGGTTAATTACATTCACCCAGTGAATTAGTACCCACAGTTTGCTAGGACACTACCTTAAATGTACTCTACCAAGCTAGGTAAATACCCAATCAGTTATTTAGGAGATGGATAGAGTGAAGGTAGTTTGTTGTTAGGTTGTTATCCTGCTGCACCGGTTAATGGGTAAAGCGGTATTTATAACCACTAAATCGTTCTTAGGGAGAATGCCTCACACTAACCCAAAATTTACACAAATTCAGAAAACCTTTAAATAATTATGCAAGGAACATGCTGAAACTCCTCCCAAACCTTGTCCATTGCCTAGGGTACTTGTAGTGGTTAAATGAAACCCAGCACTTAAGAATTGCTGATTTCTCATGGACTCAGCAAATCACAGATATTTATCTTTTACTAAAATTATTTTCCGGTTGTTTGGTCACCTCTTTGGACTTCGCAGTGAATGCGCCTTAAATTCTGATCTCGAGTAAATCTAAACTTTGTCACAAACAGAAGTAGGAAAGTAACATATAACAAATTGCGGTATGGGACATTGTTCATAAACTCTTCTGGCTCTTGTCACGGAAAAGAAATTTGGAAATTACATGGGAATTATTCTACCTCATGATTACTAGAGGTCCTGCCAACCTACAAAAGTGGGAAATTGGGAGTTTTAAAAATGTCGTAAAGATTGCAACTAAAATATTTAAAGTAAACTACTCACAATGTTAGGAGGATTTTTTGTCAATAAATTTAATTTATATGTGGATGAGAGTTGGTCTTAGACTACCTTGGAGCTAGCAAGTCAAATTGTGAAGGATAAATTGAAATTGACAATGTAAACTCATCGTAGGATGTGGTTGGATTAGTCTCAAAAACTGTGCAGCACCTGCAGCGGCGTCCCGATTTGTAAGGATTCCTTTGCAAGGAAAAGACAATACAAAGAAGGTGACTCACTATCTCGAACCTGGTTCGGAAAAGCTATGCCGATTATGAAAAATAGCCACCATTTCCTAGATATTCAACTAACTCCTCGGATTATCCTCCTCTAATTGTGCCTCTTAAGCATACTGCA